TAAATGCTAATCGACGATGGCAGTGATAAAGTAATAAATGTTTTGATCAAAAAGGACGCCTTTATTCTTGAAAACTTTACATAGGAAGCCCTTCTGTATTTTCTAAGGATAGGCTACTTGGCCAATATTTATAATTTGGTGGAAAGAGGGAGGGTGGATGGAGACAGAGTCTGCGGAGCTTCTTTCTTGAGCTGACTAATTTGTCGTCACAATAACATACATTTTCAGGATTAGCACTCTTAAAGGGTTCTGTTGACTGCAAATGATATTGTAGAGTGTATTATAGATAGTTTTTTAAATTTTATCATTATTTTTAAAAATATATATATTTTATTGATTTTTTACAGAGAGGAAGGGAGAGGGATAGAGAGTTAGAAACATCGATGAGAGAGAAACATCGATTAGCTGCCTCCTGCACACCTCCTGCTGGGGATGTGCCTGCAACCAAGGTACATGCCCTTGACCGGAATCGAGCCTGGGACCTCTCAGTCCGCAGGCCGATGCTCTATCCACTGAGCCAAACTGGTCAGGGCTATTATAGATAGTTTTGATGGAATTAGCAGGTGAGCAGAAGAGGGCAGAATTACATATAAATTCTTTGGAGCTATAACATCCATTATTTCTTAAAGGGACCTCTTCAAGGCTCCATACTGGGCAAAGTATTTTTCATTTGCCTCCCACATCTTCCTTTGCCCTTCCTTACTCTCTGCCCAGGGAGGACAATCTACATGGATTCCACCAACAAGTTCCAGTACCCTGTAGCTTCTACTTGGGTCTGGTCTTGATAGGAGGGAGGGAGGGAAGAGACTGAAATCAAGGTATTTATTCCTGATATCCCTCCTTTGAGGCCAACTTGAGCTGTCATTGTGTTTGACAAGCTGTTGCCTGGTCTTCTTAAAGCAGTTGTCACCACACAAGCCTCTCTCCTTCTGGGTCCTGGTAACCTTTTTCTCCTCCTATCAGGTCTAGGGTGGTGACTTCTCTGCTGATGTGAGGCCCAAGTTCCTTCACTATCCCTGTGGTTTACTTGTACTCCACTTTATAATGAGTCCCTTTGTAAATTAATGTTTTTTAAAAAAATATATCATCTATCAGCTGCCTCCTGCACACACCCTACTGGGGATGTGTGCAACCAAGGTACACGCCCTTGACCAGAATCGAACCTGGGACCCTTCAGTCTGCAGGCCGACGCTCTATCCACTGAGCCAAACTGGTTAGGGCAAAATATATCTTTTTTTAAATATTATTTCAGAGAGGAAGGGAGAGGGAGAGAGAATCATTGATTGGCTCTCTCCTGCACGCCCCCTATTGGGGATGGAGCCCGCAACCTAGGCATGTGCCCTTGACTGGAATCGAACCCGGGATCCTTCAATCCGCAGGCTGATGCTCTATCTACTGAGCCAAATCAGCTAAGGTGTAAATTAATTTTCCTGGAATTACTTTGAGTGTGCTCTGTTTCCTGTTGGGATCATGACTAATACACATATCATTCTATAAATTGAGATTAAGAGGAAATTGTAATTGGGGCCATATCACCACACATCTTGTTAGGCAGACTTCTGTCACAGCCTTCTGGACTAGTTTATGAGTGTTCTCTGTCACTCTTTCATTTTCTTACCCAACCATCAATTTCTTGTGACCCCATGAACCAATCAGTGAGCAAGGTTACAGCTGGTTCAAAACCAAGCCAGAAAGGCTTAATTCATTTTTTCATTTTCCCACTGTTCCCAGTTTTCTTCTCCACTCGTACTCTTGGTGCTGTAGACTGTGAGATCCCCAATCAAAGGCAGAGGTTTTGTCTGAGACTTCTGTCGTCCCTGGAGCCTGGAACACAATAAATGCTAAACAACTGCTTGTATAATGAATACATGGAAGATGGAATTAAGGAAATGTCTATTTATCGAACCTTCTGTTTCCAGGAAGCCTAGGGCTGGTCTACTTCTCTCCTTTCCTTTAGGATGCTCTGTGCTTTTCTTGCCTCTATGAACAACCCTGCTGCTGTATGATGACCATTTGTACACTGGTAAATGATTTTTTGTTGTTATTTTGTAACAGCTTTATTGAGATGTCATTCACATGCCACAAAATTCACCTACTTAAAGTATATGATTCAATGGTTTTAATGTATTCAAAGAATTGTGGGATCATCACCACAATACAATTTAGAATGTATTCATAACCCTAAAAAGAAACCCCATACACATTAGTGGTCATTCCCTTTCTCTCAACCTCTCCTTTCCCCATTTCCTGCAACCACTAATTTACTTTCTGAATCTATGGAATTGCCTATTCTAGACAATTCATATAAGTGAAATGATTTAATACTAGAGGCCTGGTGCACAGATTCGTGCACATTGAAAGGAAATTAATTAAAAGGTGGCTGGTGGGGTGGGACTGGGCGAGACAGGCCAGACAGGCCCTGGAGCCAACCTCCTGTGGTCCCTCCCGGGCTGGCCGCACCTGGGGTGGCACCGGGGTTCGGAGGGTGTCTGCGGAGTGAGCGAGGTTCCTCTGGCAGGTGGGGTCCCTCAGCCTGGCCTGCGGGGATCATCCCCTGAGGGGTCCCAGAGTGTGAGAGGGCACTCTGCAAAATTGCTGTCACTCGGGAGCTTCTGCATTGAGCGTCTGCCCCCTGGTGGTCAGTGTGTGTCATACCTACCGGCCAGTCAGCCATCAGCCAGTCACTTAGCCTTTTATATATACCAGTATATAGAGATGTAGTTTTTTGTGAGTGACTTCTTTCACTTTGCTTACTCTTTTTCAAGTTTCATCCAAGTTGTAGCATCCATCAGCACATCATTTCTTCTTGTTATGGTCAAATAAGATTCTAATATATAATTACACCACATTTTATTTATCTGTTCATCATTTGATGGACAACTGATTTTTTCCACTGAGTGCTGATAAATGTTTAACAAATAATCTGGAAAAAAAAATCCTATTCATAGCATTTGTTGAATTTCATGGTATAAGTACTCACATTATGGCTGATTGCAGGCTATATGATGTCCCTGAACATGGAGTTAGAAAGAGATGCTAAAATTAACTCTTATGAGTCCCTACAAGCCAGATCCAGTGCACAAATCTGACCACCTTTACTGATGAATCACTAAAGTTACCAGAGATGTGGCCACACCCAGTGAAGATGCCACATACTATTAATTTATTCCTCCTGCCAGAGGAATGCTGCCCCAGTCCCTGCTGCTCTATTACTGGCTCAAATCCTAGCACAGATAGGATTCAGTTGACACAGGTGGGAGACAATCCAGTGATGTGGCTGAGAGTGTGCCTCACTCTGAAGCCAAACTAAATGTATCATGTCCCAGCTCTGGCACCAACTGACGGTGCATCTTGGGTAAGTGACCCAATTTCTCAGAGTATCCCCATCATTAAAATGGGAAAATAAGAGTCCCCACCTCATAAGTCTGTTGTAAGGATTAAACTAATATGTTAATTTAAAGTAATCAAAACATAGGAAGTGTTCAATACACCTTGTCGGAAGACCTCTTCCAGGAGTAAGCTTTGTTCCCTGTGTGAGTCACCTCTGTGCACCTGCTACATGAAGCCTGTAGAAGTTGCTACCTGCCTCCTCCGCAGCTCTTTTCTATGACCCTTACTGCTGACATCCTGTATGATCACTTCTAGATAGTCCTGCTCTCCCAGGGAACTGGATGGTTCTACAACTGCTTTTTGTTTCTCACAAAAGAGGAGACTCTTGGGCTTGAAGAAAGTGTTATCTGCCTGCTTCTCTTAACTGGCAGATCACCTATGCTTAACCACTAGGTTTAGAAAAGTCCCAAGGGAAACTGATGTTATTCTCAGCCCTCCTAGCTGAGACTAGCACAGTGGTTCTCAACCTTCTGGCCCTTTAAATACAGTTCCTCATGTTGTGACCCAACCATAAAATTATTTTCGTTGCTACTTCATAACTGTAATGTTCTACTGTTATGAATCGTAATGTAAATATCTGATATGCAGGATGGTCTTAGGCGACCCCTGTGAAAGGGTCGTTCGACCGCCAAAGGGGTCGCGGCCCACAGGTTGAGAACCGCTGGACTAGCAGATCTGGAGCATCCCTAGCATAAGAGAAAGAAAAGCCTCCCAGCCTCCCACAGAGGAGAAATCTTACCCACAAGCCCCAAGACACTGAGGGTAAAGGGAGCATTGGCATCCTAAGCAGACTGAGTGGAGAAAGAAGGAGATGGCAAGTCATTCATGACAAGAAGAGAAATCATCCTGTGTGCAGGATTGGCTTGGAAGGAAGCCCCCGAGGCCCTGGAGTCCACTTTGCTATATGCTCCTCCTAGGCAGGGTCCCTAACCCAAGTAACCGTGTTTTACACCCTCATTCCATGTCCCACCCTCCCCTTCTCCAATCCCAGGACCAAGAATTTGGTTCAAGTCATGAATTGCTCGGATAGGGGGACATCATTTACTAATTTGGGGTAAATCCAGGTCCATTAATATTTACCGAATACCCACCAGGAGCTGGGGCAGTGTTAGCTGGCAGTCCCAGGAATCCTAGGAACCAACAGTCCACAGTCACATCCCAGAAAAATAACCCTGCCTGTCTCTGAGCATCCTCACGTCCTCGGAGTCAGCTTCTGGGTCTGATTCCTGCAAAACATCAGCACTTCCTTGTACTGGGGGCTTCCACTAGGCCCCCATGGAGCCTCCTTGAAGCGCTGGAGGCTTAAAGGGCAGGGAGTAGGAAGGGGTGGGGAGGTAAGGTAAGAAGGAAGGGGAAGAAACAAGGTGCGTTTCTCCCTCAATGCGTGTTCCAATCAGGAGTCGGCTGAGTTCCCAGGCGCCGATTCACGCGGGCCAGAGACACTCCAGGAACCGCCTGGCACCCCGGCGGTGGATTGGGGCAGGTTCGGCCCCGCGGCTCACTCCTCCCCCCTCGCCTCCCTCCGGGCTCCTCGCCTCACTCAGGGGCGTGTCCTGTGCTACCTCCCTTCCACAGTGGTCCGCTCCTCCGGTTACAGCGGCAGCGGCGGCAGCCTGAGCGAGCGCAGCGACACCTCCGGCTTCTAGGACTGAAGCTGTGGCCGACTCGGCGCGCTCGGGGCACCTGTGCGGAGCCGGAGTTGCAGGACGAGGGGTGGGATTCGTGCCAGCCACTCTCTGAGCCCGGAGGCAGGGCCGCCCCCAGCCCCTTAGGAATCACTGCTCTGCAGAATCTCCGCCCAGAGCTGGGAGTCCTGGTGGGGTGGACATGTGGAGGACCAGCTAGAGGGCTGAGAAAGGTAAACATTGGGTCCAAGTGTAAGAGGCAGTGAAAGCTGTGGCTGGGACCATGACAACCTCCCCCCTGGACTTCGGGGAGGTGGAAACTTTCCTGGACAGGCACCCAGAATTGTTGGAGGATTACCTGATGCGGAAGGGGAAGCAGGAGATGGTGGAGAAGTGGCTGCAGAGGCACAGTCAGAGTCAGGGGGCTGTAGGCCCAAGGCCTGCACCGGCGGGCACCGGCGGCATGGCTCCCGGCGGTGGCAGAGGCAGCAGCAGCGTTGGTGGTGGCACTGGACCAAATGGCTCAGGCAGCAGCCAGCCCCCTCCGGGTGGCGGGGACTGTGGTGGGGCTCCCCTGAGTCCCAGCTGGGCCAGTGGCGGCCGGGGTGATGGGAACATGCAGCGGAAAGCTTCTCAGAAAGAGTTAAGGAAGAGTTTTGCCCGCTCCAAAGCCATCCACGTGAACAGGACCTATGATGAACAAGTGACGTCCCGGGCCCAGGAGCCCCTGAGCAGTGTGCGGCGGAGGGCGCTTCTCCGCAAGGCCAGCTCCCTGCCTCCCACCACAGCCCACATTCTCAGTGCCCTGCTGGAATCGAGAGTGAATCTGCCTCAATATCCCCCTACGGCCATGGACTACAAGTGCCACCTCAAAAAGCATAACGAGCGCCAGTTCTTTCTGGAACTGGTCAAGGATATCTCCAATGACCTCGACCTCACTAGCTTGAGCTACAAGATCCTCATCTTCGTCTGCCTCATGGTGGATGCTGACCGCTGCTCTCTCTTCCTGGTGGAAAGGGTGGCTGCTGGCAAGAAGAGCTTGGTCTCCAAATTGTTTGATGTGCACGCAGGAACCCCACTGCTGCCCTGCAGCAGCACAGAGAACTCAAACGAGGTGCAGGTCCCCTGGGGCAAAGGCATCATTGGCTATGTCGGGGAGCATGGAGAAACGGTCAACATTCCTGATGCCTACCAGGTAGGACTTTGCGTTGCCCCCCCCTTCCAGAGCCCCACTGGCCTGGGAGCCAAGCCTTCAGTTACCCTTTGGCATCCAGAAACACATTAATTTAGACTCTTTACAATACGATTCTTGCTATTTAAATTCCTTCTGAGTTTAGACCACTTAGAGTGTTGCTACACCATCTTCGATGTCATGGTCTTTCCCTAACACACAGTGGTTTGTGGAAAATTCGTATAGAACAAGGGTTACATTTTGCATCCAATGATAGCATGTGTTCTCAGTCAAGATACTTTGTCTTTAAGAATATCGGTGTATGGTTTTAGAATGTATTTGTGGGGTGATAGAAAAAGATGTCTACTCCAGAATTCCAGTGTTAGTCTGAAGACAATGGGCTTGTTGGTGTCTCTGATGTGTTTTTGGGATCATAATGTATTTCATTCTCATTTGTGCTTGGAAAGGGAACAGAGTGCCTAACTACTTTCCTATCCCCTTCTCCAGCTTACAGTTGCATGAGTTCCAACGTAGGGTAGAAGAGGAAGAGAGGGAAGGTCAGGAGAATGGTCCTCTGACACATTTGAGTCTATTTAGCATCTATTTTAACTGTTTTCTTGTTGTTGAGTTTTCAGAGGTTGGAAAAGTAGAGGGGTGATTTATCTGTAGGCTGGGATGCAGCATTATCTGCAATCAGTTTTTGATAGGACTGAGCAGTAGGTTTTTAGTTTGTGAAGCAAACAAAAAATTGATAATTTTCTAGCAACTCCAAAGGCAATGAGCAGGGTAAACATGCTAATTACAAGTGGAAAAGGAAACTGAACATGCTGTCATCTGGTATTTCTAAGCCTTTCATTTTCACAGTGACTTGAACTTGATATTACCCTGGATCTGAAAGCCAGTCAGTTCTAATTTCTTCAGTCTCTGTTACTGAACATGGTGAAACTGGATGCCACTTTCTGAGACTTCTTCAGGGTTCATAAGAATTGAGCACTCCTCCCAGTTGTCTAAAGGAGCTACATGTTTTTTCTAGAGTTTGGTTGCTATTGATCAGAACAGCAAAAGTGGTGGGAAGGACATTAAAGGTAAACTTATATTTCATCTGAAAGTTGACAGTTTTACGTAGAAAATTGACTAGCTTGTATTAAACCAAGTTTCATTTTTTTGTGAGGTGTCACTATAACACTTTAATGTTAAGGGATGCCTGTCAAAATACCGTTTTTGTTAACCTTTTTGTATTGATTAGGTACATTATTCATTATATACCTCTTGAAGACCGATAGGTTTAGGTCAAGTAACCAATGAGTAATCTTTAGCAAGTGTCTCTTTTCCTACAATCCCAGAAAACCATGGGGAGAAATAAAAGCATTTAGTAATTCATATGTTGAGGATTCTGTAAAAAGTTGAACAATCATAAACTCTTTTATTTCCCAGTATTTCCACATTCTTATTGTGTGCTTGGGCTAAAAAAAAATCCCTTCCTAGTCAGATGACACTTGTTATAGCATGGAATTGCAGTCTTTTCTCTTTTTTGCCTTTGCTTTTCTCATTCTTCACCAATTGATTTTCTCCCATTTATATAGCCTTTATTTCTTACTCCCCTCCTTCAGCTCCTAACTTTTATTTAATACTGTTCATATACTGTCCTTTCTTCAAGAGCGTAATTCCCAGCTTCCTCAGCAGTTAACTTGTCTTCCTGCCGACTAGAACTGTGGCTAGAGGTGTTATCACAGGCATAGAAAATCAGATTTTCACAGCTGATGTTTCTTCTGGGCCCTATTCTTGCTTTGAAGACAGAGTGTAAAGCAAAGTTGCCTTTTAATATTTGAAAGCTGACATTGGGCAGGGAGAGGTTTTGTTTTTGTTTTCTCTCAGGGTAGTAATGATGGGTGTAAGACTGGGTTGTTGGGAGGACTGGCAAAGGCAGGGAAAAGAAGGGTGTTATATGGGTTGAGAGTTTACGATCTTAGTTCACTGTTTGTATTCATTTGAATCTGCTTAGAAAGTCCCCTTTCTAAGCCGATTGGCCTCCTTTATGTATTTTTAACATGGTGTGTTTTATATTTTACTTATACTACTCTTTGATGAAACTACTTCTTTTCTTTGTTATGATACATCACAAAAACCAATAGTGTGACCTTGGGAGAATTTCTTGACTTCTGAGTCTCAGTTTCCTCATCTGCAAAATGGAAACGACACTAACATGGCAAAGATTATTGTTTTGAAAATAAAATGAACCCTGGCTGGGTGGCTGAGTTGGTTGGAGCATTGTCCAGTACACCAAAAGGTTGCAGGTTTGATTCCCAGTCAGGGCACATACCTAGGTTTTAGGTTCAATCCCTTGTTGGGGTGTGTATGGGAGGCAACCAATGGATGTTCCTCTCTCACATCAATGTTTCTCTCTCTCTCTCTCTCTCTCTCACCAATAAATAGAACAGACTGACATACCTCGATGTGGGGGTGGGAGGACGAAAAGAAATAAATCAAAAAATGTATATACTTATGTGCATAGTCCATGGGCACGGGCAATAGAGTGGTGAAGACATGAGGGGGCATGGGTAGGGGCTGGGAGGAAGGGAGGAAGGGGGGAGGAATGGGAGACATCTGTAATACTATCAACAATAAAAAATATCTATATTAAAAAAATAAAATCAATAAACATAGCATTGGGTGAGGATAAAAAAAGAAAAGAAAAATAAGATATTACATTAAATTCCCTCAAACATTACCTGCACACTGCAATTACTCAGGAAATAGTAACAGAAAATAATGACTATGATGATATCTAGTTTACTAGCATTCTTTCTCTTTATCTCATCCCCCCCCCCCCGCCCCCACCCTTATCTGGGACTGAGATGTGAATTGAGCACATTTTGGCCAGCCTAATTTTCCGCTGAGCTATGCTCCCCCCTTAAATTAAATATTTTAGAATCAACTTTACATTCAAGGGATAGAGAAATATCTATCCTTCCACCCTGTACTTGAGATTTCCCTAATTGTGATTGATAACACTGACCATAGCCTATCCGTACACTTTGTTCCCCTTAGTAACTTACAAACTTTTTATAGAGTTATATTGATGTTGCATCCTTCCCAAGTTCTAATATTTCCCCCCATCCATTTTATGCTGTTATAGATTTTTCTTAATGAAAACTGGCAACCTTCCAAATGCATGTTCTTTTATCATGATGTTATTGTAATTCTGATCATATATTGTAAACATCTCGAAGTTTCTATATAAAAATATAACCATCTTCCATGATTCTTTAACTATTATATTTTAAAGGTCTTTGTTGCTCAGATTCAACTAGTGTACTTTTTTTTCTTCAGGAGATGCAATTATCACATAGTCTCAGAATTTAATCACTTGTTAATTAGGTTAATGATCCCCTTGGAGGTTCAGAATATGGGTGAGAGAAAGGCATTGAAGACACTTATGAGATTATGATAAGTATGGCATTTCGGAGTCACGGATAGATAGTCTAATGAAATACTAAAGTTGAATAAAAGTTTTTTTTACAGCAAAAATACCCCTTAGTTTATTTCATTATTTTTCATTACTTTCCTCAATTAGTTCTAAAAAACAGACTTGAAATTTGATGACAAATAATGAATTGCAAGTGGAAAAAAATTCATTTTAGATATACAGCATAGATCAGAGTGGCTGCAATTTACCATTTTCCCCTGACAGTTATAAGTTATTAAACAGCCCACTTTAATTTAGTAATGAAAAAATTGCCCTCAAGAGGTTGAAAATAAGAGCACTCAAGTAACAGATGTTCTCTTTGAGATTATTCTAAGCATACAGAACATAGCACTTTAAACATTAATAAAAAGTGTGAGATGATACTTTTGTTACTGCTGATAATAATGATACAGGTGTTTGATGGGCTTTGGGCTTCAAAAGCAGCCACGATATTTTGTTAGGTGAACTGAGAAGAGGAAAGGGGATGACGCAGAAGGGTTACAGGTGTGCCAGGCTTTCAGGAAACCTGATCTATTTACACAACAGATTTATTCATTCATTAGTTCCAACAAACACACACTGAGTGTCCATTATTCACCTAAGGCTCAGGTTGGAGGCCTGAGGGCATACAACAATGAGAGGACATGCTTCTTGCCTTCCACATATTTACAGTCAAGCTGAACTTAATGACACAAACTAAATGGCATTAGTGTTAGAGGAAAATGTCTTGGCTCATTGTGACTTGGCTCATGATGGAAGACTTCAAGGGGGAGGTGCCATTTGAGCTAGGAAAAGGGTTGGGTTTTCTTATTGGACATGGCCGTGGCATCAGGGGAAGTGATCAAGGTACAGCAAAAAGGCTTCAGCAGAGAGGTGATAAACAAGCCCCAATTGTGTACAGAGGACAGTGAGTGGTTTAACTTGGCCAAAGTATTGCATATCCTATAGAATTAATATTTAAAAGTAAGGGAGGGCAAAAGAAGAAGAGACCTTGAATACCTGACTAAAGAGCTTGAACTTCATTAATAGTAGGCCACAGGGAGCCCTTAAAAACATTTTAGCATCATCAGAATGATGTTTTGGGTTACCTGGTGGCAGTGGCTGAATGGATTGAACAAGGGGAAGCTCAAAGCTGTGAAAATAATTAGGAGTCTATAAGGTGGTCTGGTAGAGCCATGAAGAACAACTGAACTAAAGCTGGAACAGTGGAAATGGACAGCAGGGGACATGTGGGAGATGTCCTGCAGGTGTGGATTTGGACTAGGACAGAGAGAAGTCAATGGTGACCCAGAGATTCTAAACCTGGGGTGATACGGAGAAGGGTAATGCTGATACAAAAACCGTAAGAGAAACTGGGTAAATAAAGATTTTAAGTCAAGCTACCCACATAATTTGTGGAACTCAGTGCAAAATGATAAATAAAGCAGGAGCCTGACTGGAGGTGGAGAAATCAATCTTCCCTTCTTAAGGGTCTGCTGCCCCACCCACAGCAGAAATGTGGCCCCAAAGTCATTTCAACTTCCATGCTGAGAAATTCTCAGTACCTCGATTGGGGGTG